TAGCAATCAAATCCTTCTTCTAACAATTAGTCTGACGTTAAAAAATTTGGACATGGAGTCTGGCTTTCCCCCTTCCTGGGTAGGTGAGCTTCATTTGAGAAATGGGGCAGGGAGTGGACTAAATCAGGGGCTTCTGCTGAGTTCCATGGAGCCCTGTGGACTCATGGGTAAGGCCCCCCATCTCCCATCCCTCCAGCCAGAGCCCCTCAGAGCTCTTTGTGCCATATGCCCTGCTTCTGTGGGAGTTTCTTGGAAGACAACCTTTCACATCAGAGAACGTGTTTGAAAGCCACTGAGTTTTTTTTAATTGTTTGCAACTTGGGGATATAGAGACCTGACTTCACTGAGATGCTCTCTGAGCTCCCTGCCAGCCCCACTGAAAGCACATCCAGGATTTTTATCTGGTTCAACTTTTCCCCATGGGAAACAGAGAGGGTGTTACCCGAGCCATTTCCAGAGACTGGCTGTGTGCCCCTGGGCAAACAAATTCACCTCTTTGAGCCTCACTTTGCCCACTGTAAAATGAGGAAGTGAATAATGCCCAACTCCCAGCATTTTCAAAGATAAAAATAAAGAGATGTGGCAACGTGTGGTGTCATGAGAACAACACCAGCAACAATTGTCTAACACCTACTATGTGCTAAGTACCATGCTGTGCCCTACTTGGTTCTCACAACTCCCGTCCACGGCACACAGGCGGAAAGGAGGTGGAGCTGGGATTCCACTGGAAGGAAAGGCCACCTTGACCTGACCAGATTTCCTTGTGTGCATCCTTCCAGCCAGCGAGGCCCTCTGCCCATGGTCACTGACTGCTGCGGCTGATGTTTTTGTAAAGAACAAGTACTTAACAAGTCAGAGAAAACAGATTTGTTTGCGTCAAACCTCTTGCCAACTTTCCACTTCTAACATGACATATTCTTCTCTCTCTTTACAGCAGGAAAAAAATGCATGAGTCATATCTATCTATATTTATATCTATATCTAGATCTAGATAGATATAGATATAGATAGATATATATCTATATATATTCATGTGCAATATAAATATATATATTTGTGTACAATATGTATGTTAAAAATGTACAGACAGTATGGCTGAAAAAGAGGCACAGTAATAAATCTAACTGAAAGTGACCTCATAGGGTGATCTGATCATAAATTTCTAACTGGGCAGGTCCTGGTAGGTAGTCACCTCCCAGACCTATAACTTTTTAGTAAAAGTTTTATTTTTTGCCCTCAGCAAGCCCTTTCCATAATTCTTATGCATCTAGGTTAACACACCTTTGAGATGCCAGAGCAATCCTCTTTTTCAGGCCCCTCTGAAGACCACCACCCTCAGGGGAGCGCAAAATCTCATTAACTATTCCGTAATCTGATCCCTGCCTTACTTCCCCCCACCCTCCGGTCGTCTTCCTTCCTTAAGTCCAAATGCACAAACGAAACAGCAACACTGTTATTCATTTGAGATCTTGCTTCCCAGCAATGTTCCTCAGTTTGGCACAAATAAAATCTTATAAAATTCTCTACAAGTTTGGACATTGCTTATGTCTACAATAGTCAAATGTCAGGACTTGGAGATCCGCTCTTTTCTTCAAGGAGTCCTGCCTCGCTTAGGAAAATCAAGCCCCAGCCCAAAGCGCTGAGAGGCAGATGGGCTGGCTTCTCTGGTGGCAGTTTAACTCCGTGGGGGGCTGACTTTCAACGGAGTTTGTCCTCCCACATTTCCCAGATCAGGCAGGCAGGGGAGTGAAGCCACAGATCCTTCGGGCCTGCTTGGAGCTGTCCACACTAGAGGTCAGCAAGGGACTTATGGTGATAGAAAGGATAAATGTCCCCCAAAGATGTACATGTCCTAATGTCCTAATGTGGGTATGTTGGATTTTTCTAAGACCCCGGTCCCCTTCCACAGCAGTCCTGTAACTGGTGCCAGGCAGGGGGCCTTGGTGTTCACGTCTGAGCAGCCCACACCTACGCTCTGGGCTTGTGGCCAAGGCAAACAGGCAGAAGCAGCCACCCCTGACTAATGCCCCTCAGTGTCTGAACTGGAAACCCTTTCCAGGGTTCAAGGAAAACCCTGGCTGCTCCCCCTCTCCACCACACTCTCCCCAATGCCAACAGGACAGGAAAACCTTCGGGAGGATATACATGCACATACTAGTGAAAATATATCTAGTAATATAGTATATTTCTAGGGGCCACCAGGAGAGGGGAAACCTTCATGCATATACACTGAGTGGCCAGATTACTATGATCTCTGAATGCATAATAATCTGGCCACTCAGTATATATCCTATATAACAAAAGGCTAATATGCAAATTGTCCCCTTGACCAGGAGTTAGACCAGCAGGCAGGCTGGCCAACAGCCCATGTCCCCTCCCCCTGGCCAGGCTGGCTGGAACCACCCATGCACGAATTCATGCATTGGGCCTCTAAAATACACACACACACACACACACACACACACACACACACACTGAGTGGCCAGATTATTATGTGTTCAGATATCATAATGATCTGGCCACTCGGTGTATATATCCAAGTAAAAAAATATACATGTGCTTCCATCTGGTAACTTCTTCCAGAAGTTATGCTCAGACTTGCCCAGAAATGTATGCGGAAGGTTACAGATTGCATTTAGCATCCTGCTACTGAAGAGAGGCTGGCCCAAAGGACTGCATGCTGCATGTTCCCATTTATATGGCATTCTGTGGGGGCAGAGGCAACAGAGGGCGGCGTGGTTGCCGGGGCTAAGGGCACAGGGACAGCACAGATCTCTTCCTGGGCGATGGAAATGTGCTCATCCCGGTGGTGGGGCGCCTGTGTGCCTTGTCAAACTCATGAGAGCAGCGTGCATAGAGGGAGAGGTGCATTGGGTGTAAACTGGACCCCCACTAACCTGCTTAAATGGAAGTCCATTTTTTTATATCAGCAAGAAACAGGAAAGAGAATGGTCAAATACACAACAGTGTTGTGGGGTCGAACCCTGGGTTCAAAATAAGACCACCGGAGGCTGACAATTTATTAAAAAAGCAAACAAGGATTTATTGAACTGGCCAGGCAAGCCTCAAGAGTACCACACGCAGGCGGACCCTACAAGACTGCGAGGCTTTAGGGGCAGGTAGTTATTTTTAAAGGTTCTGAGAAGGAAAACCCCCATTCTACAACAAACTGTTGTTTGGAATTTTCTGCTGTTCTTCCTAGATAAAATGTTGGTTTCTAGTTTGCTTTAGCCCATTTGAAGAATGATGAAGATAAACTTAGCTGTCTGACCTTGCAGGCCAGAGACCAGATATACCCACAGTCTCAATACCATGCCACGTGCATTTTTTAAATTGGATAGAACAACATTGTTTTCGAGGCCAGCATCGAGATAACCACTAAGTGTAGATACATAGGGCTGGCTCTTTAATGAAAAAGAAAGTTCTGCCTGTAACCTTGCCCAGAACTTGAACTCATCCTCCCTAAGCCTATCACACGATGAACAAAGCAAGTCTCTTCAAATTCTCCCCCTGCACCATCTGACCGCTCGGGAACTCTGAAACAGTTCAAACTACAGGAATTTTCCTTTGTTCTAAATTCTGAATCCTAAAGACTATCTTCTAAAAACTGGGGTCAGCCGTAGGGTCATTTCAGTCACATCCTGCTGGACATTGGATGTGGCCCTATCTTGCAGAAGCAGAACTCAGTGGTTAATCTCCAAAGGTTATGGTCCCAGGTACAGGAAAATTGCCTTAGCAGGGTTTAAAATTCAAACAGCAGTTTTTACCCAAGTATGATTGCTACCATATTTCCAACAGTAACTCATAGAATGCAGAGCAGCGCAGCTCCTAACAGGAAAAGATCGAAGTGCTGTCCAAGAGTTATGGTTGTGTGGGAAATGGCATGCATATTTATCATTTACGTAAAAAGATATAGATTTATGTGTGCTTGTATATGCATAAAGTATTTCTGGAAAGATTAAAAAAAAATCTGAGAATGGAAGTTATAGCTGAGGAGTCTAAAAGTAGCTAGGAGCGATGAGAAAGTCTAAATTTTACTTTCTACCCTTAGCTAATGCTTGCATTACTGATTTTACCTTGAATGATAAAACTCTCATCCTGGGTGCCCATCCATCCATTCAATGGTTTGCTGAGATTTACTGGTGAAGCAATTAGACATGGTCTCTGCGGAGTTGTGGTGCTCAGAGCCACTCCCCTCAAGATCAGGTTTATTGAAGTATAACTTAGGTGCCATAAGATTCACCTTTTCTACTGGTTTTGACAAATACATTTGGTTGTGTAACCCCCACCACCATTAATGTGTAGAGCAGTACTACCGCCATCCCCAAATATAATATCTTGTCTTTCCAGCCCCAGCCCCTGGTAACCACTGATCAGTCTGTTGTCCACATGGAGCTGCCTTCTCCAGAATGCCATCCCAGTGGAGCCCACACAGGAAGTGCCTTTGGAGCCTAGCTGCTTCCCTGAGCAGCTAAGGCTTAGCTGACTGCATGGGAGATGTACTTGGAGGTTTGCAATTGTTTTGTGTGCCAGGAGCCCCTTCCTTCTGGCTGCCGAGGAATAGTCCCTCCTGCGGACGTACTGCATGGGTTCCATCTTGGGGACAAAGACAGAAGGAAAACGAGTAACTTTGATCCTTAACTGACCTACTGTGTTCACCGGTATGGACTACATCAAATGTCCTCCCACAGGCAGAGTCAGGTCTAGAAAGATAAATTCGATTGTTACAGAAAAGTAGACAAATGTCACTTCTTGAACCTCCAATTGTGGATTGAGAAACCCACACCGACTTTGTTGATTCTGTGTGTTTGGATCGGGACAATGTGGCTCCGCAGGCCTGACAGGGAGCGAGGGCCCCAGGAAAGCCCTGTCCCCTGGGGCTTTATGACAACAGTGCCGAGTCATAGAGGCCCTGCAGGTCCCTAAGGGATACTGGTTCTCCTTGCTGTGGCCTTGGCTATCCTGGGCGCAGTTTTGCCTTTGTGGGCTGATGGGAAATTATGGAGTATCTTGGAACCACCCAGAATGCCAGTTACTGTGGCCCCAGGAAAACCTGCAGCTTCAATGAGCCTCTGGGTGTGCAGCTCCCGGTGATGCAGGAATGTTGCCAGCCCTACTACCTGCCGGGGTACCGCTACCTCAACACATGGAGACCCAGCCTCTTCCACAAGATCTCCACCGCCCAGATCTGCCCGGAGGAGGGGGCCACATGCCAGGGCATCCAGAAGCCGCCCACCATCCTGCCCTCCCTCCGCGCAGGGCTCTTCTGTCGCTATAGCCCCCATGACTGGGACAGGTCCCAGGAGATGCAGATGCGCGGGGCAGAGGCCTCTCGGCTGTGGGCAGGCCGGCTGATCGGCGACTCCAGGCGGCTCGTGCATGACAAGGACCAGCTGACGAGGCAGATGCAGGAGGGGACCTGCCGGAACCTGGGCCAGAGGCTGTCGGACATTGGTTTCTGGAAGTCTGAGCTGACCTACGAGCTGGAGAGGCTTCTGAACGAGAACCGAGGCCTGGACGCCTTCAAGAAGCGGCTGGAGTGTGCAGCGGACGAGGTGAACTGCCCGTTGCAGGTGAGTGTGGGGCCGGGAGAGGGGCCGTGGCCGCTGCGATGCGGCCCCATCACGTCCCTTGCGCGATCACGTGACAGGCACCTCGCAGGTTGGTTTGTGCTGCAGCATCACCTGTAATCTGTTTAAAACATAAAAATATATATAATCTTAGCCGGCAGGTGTGGCTCAGTGGTTGAGCGTTGACCTGTGAACGAGGAGTCCACGGTTCAGTTCCCAGTCAGGGCTTGATCCCTAGTGCGGGGCATGCAAGGGGCAGCCAATCAATGATTCTCTCCCACCAGTGATGTTTCTCTCTCCCCCTCTCCCTTCCTCTCTGAAGTCAATAAAAAATATTTTTAAAATAGGTAATCATAGTTAATTTAGGACAATCCCAGTCAAATCAGGGTTCCTCGCACTGGTTAGAATGCCTTCTTCTCCTTGGAGTTATATCAACATTAAAGAGTTTCATCAAAATATTACAAGCATGTGGGGGCCTGCATGTGTGTGATGGATGGACATACTTAAAATAACCAATTCGTTTTCCTTCAAAGCTCTTAACACCTTCTTACAAACTCCAGAACATTCACTCCTTATTTATTTACTGTGTTTCTCCCCACACTAGAACATAGGTGCCACGAGGGCAGGGAATTGTGTCTGCTTTGTCACCAGCGTGTTCCAGACATACTCCTGTGTCTATGCCTGACTAGACCAGTGGCTGGAATGTCTTCCCAGCCTAGCTCAGTGTTTGGCACATAGTAGGTACTCAATAAGTATCTGTTGAACAAATGAATAAATATCTCAATGTGGACACTTGCGACATTTCCTCGGCCTCCCAGTCTCCCGTCATATTCTGGATTGGTGAGGATGGCTTTGGGCTGCACGTAAACAAATAAGGGGCCACAGTGACGCAACCAAATAGGAGCTTCTTTGCCTGTCATAGTGAGAATTCTGGAGGGAAGCACAGCAGGCATCCACTTGGTGCCAGTAGGCAGCCAGGCTCTGCTCTTTCTGCTCTGCCACCCTTAGCATGTACTGCCGTCCTACCACTGACAAGGAGGTTTCCTATCTCATCTTGCAAGCTCCCGCCTGCCAGGAGCGCTGTGATGTTCTCATTCCAGAAAGGGAGCTGGGGGTAGGGCAGTGCGCCCAGTGGGCCTGTCCCTTTTTTATAGGGAAGATCCGTTTTCCTGAAGGCCTCCCATGAGATTCCATTTTTAGCCCATTTGCCGGAACTCACCTGGGCTCCCTGGCTCAGAGGAGTCCGGGTGAGTGAGTGTTTTTCTCGGGGTCCTGCAGTGGACATTGGGTAAGGAACTGGCAGGGTCTGCCTCAGGCTGGGGAGCTCATCTCAGCCACCCAGATGGTGTTTTGGGGCTCCTGGGGTGTGTGGGGACTCGGAGCCTCCTACCTGGAAACCACGTCAGGTGCGGGAACTTCTGCAGGAGAAGTCTTGTCTCCAGACCCCTCGGGAGAAATGGCACAGGGTCTGTCCATTCTGGTAGGGTGGGGGCAGGGTCCTACTATCTCCCCAGCCCCCTAAGTTTCTCCCCCGGGAGGAGAGTGGGCAGGGATGCTGCTCAGAGACCCAGGGCAGTGTCCCACATCTGTGTTCTCCTCTCCCATTGTCTCCTACCCCCGGCCCGTGTGCAAAGCCCAGCTCTGCCCATCACATATGCTGCCTCAGGCAGCCATGCGGCGGCACAGGCACCAGCGTCATCTCAGTTCTGTCCACTTCTCTCCGTCTCCATGGGTACTACCTCAGTCAGTCCGGGCTTCTCTCACTGGACCGTGGTGACTGCCTCCCCACTCCTGCTCCCTTCTAACCTCTTTCCAGGACAGCAGCTGGAGGGGTGATTTTCAATATTGAACTGGATTTCCCCACTCCCCACTCAATGCTTCCTCCTGCTTCTGAATTAACATCGACATTCCTAGTTACAGCCTCTAGCGTTGCATGCCCCAGCTTCTGCTCATCCTTCCAGCCTTGCTGTCTCCACTCCGGCCACAGTGGCTTTCTGTCTCCTCCTCCTCCTCCTCATTTTCCTCCTCCTCCTTATCCTCCTCCTCCTCCTCCTCCTCCTCCTCCTCCTCCTCCTCCTCCTCTTCCTTCTCTGACACAGGTCTTTGCATCTGCTGCTCCCTCTTTCTGGCACATTGGTCCCATTCATCGCTGCTGCTTCTCATGATTCAGGTCATGATTTGTCACCTCCGAGAAGTCCTCCCTGATCACCCTGATCCCCCGACTCCCCACCCACATATCACCCTGTTTTCATCACAGCTCTCATCACTGTCAGACATGATTGCATTTATGTGTTTACGTGTATGTGTTCTCTTCCTTCTGTGAGAACTCCCTTAAGCTGGGGCTACCTGTTTGGCTTACTGAGCTGTCCCTGGTACCATGCCTGAAGGGGATACGTGTGTGTGTGTGTGTGTGTGTGTGTGTGTGTGTGTGTGTGTGCACGCTCAGGAAATCCTCATGGAATCCATGAATCCCTCACCTTCCTGAGAACCTGGGTGCTTTGGCACCCCCACACCAGGATGTCGAGCTCCCCACTGCCCTTTGTGACATCACAGCCAGTGGCCCCTCTCTGTTCTTTCCCGGTGTCATTGCAAGGGCTCCCTGAGCTGCCACTTGTCCTGCCTTCCATTCTGCTCTGCTCACGTCCCCACGGCAGTTGTAGGTCCATCACTGTGTGGCAGGCTTGCCTGGCTCTCGGCCCTGGTCACTTTGCAAAGCTCCCCCACTTGTAGAGGTCTCCACGTCCAGCTGGCCCCGGACACTGATGGGGTGAGGGGCACTGGTGCCCAGGCAGCCAAAAATCCACGTATAATTTTCCCCAAAAAACTTTACTACTGATGTTGCACTGTTGACTGGAGGCCTTACTGATAACATAAACAATCAATGAACACATAAATTGTATGTTATATGTTTAATATACTGTATTGTTACAATAATGTAAGCTAGAGAAAAGAGAGGTAAGAAAATCATAAGGGCCAGAAAACACAGCTACAGTATTTATTGGGAAAAAACTCCTCATATACGTGGACCCGTGTAGTTGAAACCCGTATTGTTCAAAGGTCAGCTGTATGTTCAGAGTCACATTCACCTGCACAACAATCCTGTGAGATACACACCAATATTGCACCTCCTGCAGCCATGATAGCTCGCCGTTGTGGTGAGGAGGCAGAAACCTGCTCAGACGCACGATGGTGAGGCTGCATGAAGCATCCAGGTTTCCCCGGGAATAAATCAGATCATGGCCAACATAGTTCCTCTGGATCCCAATATGACAGGGAGAACACATGATTTCCCACTGCTTCCTACAGGTGGCACTGGAGTGTCTGTACCATCGAGAGAAAAGGATCGGGATCGATTTGGTCCACGACAATGTGGAGAAAAACCTTATCCGGGTAAGGTGCCTCCTGGTGAGCCCAGTCCCCCCTGAGGGAGGAGGAAGGGCCAGCTGGTCAGAGAGCTTTCTAAGCAGAAGCCACCTGTCAGCTCAGGCAAAGCCAGGGCTCAGAAAGCCAGGGTGGGGGCCGAGGTTGCAGGTTAGGGACAGGGAGAAAGATCATTGGACCCTCAGTCTTTTCTCTAAAATGGGCATCATTATCGTTACACCAGTAAAACATAATTTAAAAAGCTAGTATTTATTGAGCACCTACGATATGTTATTATGCATTGTACCACTTGGTATACCTTATTTAATTTAACGATCAAACAATCTATGATGGAGTAGTTGGCACCAAGTAGGTACTAGATGTCCTTTTAGCCTGGAAGTATATAAAAAGAGAAGAAAGTGGATGAGGAATGTTGAAGCTCCCCAATCGACCCTTATCTCTCTGGCCCGGGGATCATGTGGGGTGAGGCAGCACATGGGCCCCACCCTTGTGTCTCAGCTTGTGGGGCCGAGAGTGGGCAATAAGAGGGGAGGGTCCAGGTGGCTGTGCGTTTCTAAGGGGGCGCCGCTGTTTCTGACCTTTTCATTCCAGGAGGTGGATTTGCTGAAATGCTGCCAAGAACAGATGAGAAAACTTGCTCAAAGAATTGAAATCCAGCTGCGGTAAGGGCTGATTTCTCTCCCTCTTCAGCTTGTTTGGGTTCCCTAGGTCGTGGGGGGCAAGCCAGATGGACCCCAGCTCTCGGTGGTTCTTTTGGTCAGTGGTGTACGGATGTTAAACAACCAGCTCCCTAAGAAAGAAAAAAAAATCCTGATTTGGATTATTTGTCAATGTCTATGTATAAATGCTGCCCCGATAGCGGACTCTATGCTACCAACAAGGGGTTACTGAGATGTGCACATTGATTTCCCTGAGTCAGCACATCATTGGTGGTTCCTGTTGGCAATGAGTTCTGCAGCACAAGAAACTGCTCTCACGGTGGCCCCCTCTCACCTGTGGCTACCCTTGTGAGCCCTGAACCTGGGGCGATGGCAGAGTGGGTGGCAGTCGGCATCAAGGTGAGGGGCCGGGCATCTCCAGAGGGGAGCTGGTGGCCGCCTGAGCCTTGTGTCTCCAGGAGGAATCGGCTTTTCGTTCATGGAAGATTGTGTAACTGGTCTCCGGACAAGCCAGAGGCTCCCCCATAATTAAAGGGAGGCTCGAGTGTTACGGAGCTTGGGACCCACAGCTAAGCTCTTGGCACCCAGCTCTTCCAGAGGCAGCCTTCCCGCCCGGCCCTTAACCGGGGTGCTTGCTGTTAACTCACGCAGGGCACACTGCTCTGCTCACTTCTTCTCTCCATTTCCTCAGACCCAGGTGGCAGGAGGCAGGATGGAAGCCTTTCCAGGGCACCCCTTCCTGCTATGAGGGGCACAGGGGCAGCTAAGGGGCCAGGCAGCTTGCAGATAGGATCCAGGAGTTTGGTGCCCTGGCTTGCACCAAACACCCTAGGAACAGCAGTAAACCTCCAACACACACACACACCTTCCCTACAGCAGCCCCTCATCTCCACCGCAGTGAGAACTGGGTGGCAGGGATTAGAGAGAATCACCCAGGACAAAAAGCACCCCAGGCAGTGTTGTAAAGCTACCCCCAGAACTTGAGGGCATTGGTCAGGGGCAGATTCAGGGAGCTGCCAAGGAGGGTGGTTGGAAATGAGGTGCAGACTCAGCAGTAGGTGAAGGGCCCGTTGAATGGCTGAGGTGGGGTTAAGTTCTGTCTTTGACGCCTCGTCCTGATTTCTGATGATTCTGCTGCCACTTGGACCACTGGGTGCCTAATGTTGTCTATAAATGAATCCACATTTTTAAACACCTTAAATCCTTGGATTTAAACAGGTACGTTAGGGCAGGCAAACATCTCTATTATATTTGTGTTGCTCTTATTTTTACAATTATGTATTTCTGGCAAGAGAGATGACTTCTGTTTGGTGTTGACATAAGGCTGTGACAGAACTCGGTGTTGGGGTGACAGGAGGGCTGAAGTTTGGGGAAGGGAACCAGCAGAGTGAATAAAAGCCCAGACTTAAAAGAGGAGAGCTGGACCCTGAAAGAGAGATTTCAAGACTAGGGTAGGGGGCTGCTTTGCAACCCCAGGCAATGAAGGGTGAGGTGGAAGAATTGGGAGAACCAGAGAGACTGAACAGACCAAGACAGTCCCATCCACTGGGAGACACGGAGGGGCCAAATGTAATGCTGGACATTGGGTAATATTTAATGCCGATGGTCTTGATCCGGCATCTAGAAGGGTTCAGCAATCTGGAGAAGAGATTGTGCATATATTAAATAAAGGTTCAGTGACAAAAGATAATTTTGAAAGGCATATTGGAGGAGGCAGAGGAGCCTGGCTAAAGAAACCAAGTTCTCTTTGTCTCAGGACCCTTGCTTTTTATTAACACAAATTGTCCTAAGACAAGGTGGAAATATACACTTCAAAGAATAGGGTTTCATCTACAGAGTCTATTGTCAGAATGGGGAATAGCCTATGGCTGTTCAGGTGTTTGGCCAACAGGAGGCAATAACATGTAGATTAAGATGCCCTGAGTTATCTGACAGCAAACAATCAATTTAATGCATCCTTTTCAGGTTTGGGGAAATGCCTTAGCCATTCCAACAGATGATAACATGTGACTCAGCACTTGTTGAGTCCCCAAGTTCCATCAACCTTTTAATGAAACTTTTGCAATTATGACACACTGGAATTGGCTTCCGGCACTGATGTCTGAGGGAGAGAGACAGGAAAGAATGACATGAAGCAAAGGATAGAGGTGTGTATGTGTGTGTGGGAGACAACGGGACAGAGAGACACAGATGTGCCAGACAAAAAGAGAAATCAGGAGGGGCATCAGAGACAGAGAATTGAGATGGAGAGGGACATAGAGAAAGAGGAAGAGAGTGGAGGATGTTGGGAGGGACACAGACGAAGCAGCTGAGGCAGAGGAAGTGAGAGGGAATGAACAGGTGTAGGGGACATTCCCTTGGCAGCACCAGAGGCCGGGCCACCTGGATAGAGGCTACTGGACCTCGAGGAGCAGCTGTTCCTCAGAGGCTGCCTGGCATCTTGCAGGAAGGCAACCCATGTTGCCAGGCAGCCTGATTCACCCAGAACTGGTCAGAGCTTCAATACTGCATGTGCTGGCCGCCTGTGGAGACTCTGCTGCTGACCCCCTCGGGTGGCCAACTGGCACGGGCAGGCCTGGGCTGCCTGCTGACTTGTAGTTTAGTGAGTGAGGCCAAGGCCCCCACTGGGGCAGGATTGTGTCCTCGGTTCACCAGCTCTCTAACAAAGCAGAAGGCTCTTTCTGATGGGCCGGAGTCAAGTTCCGGCTTTTCCTGGTGGACTAATAGCCAGATGAGCCTCAACAAGGGCTGGGCTCTTTGTCACGGGCCCACGAAGGGAGACAGGGACTGTCCATCCTTCCCTGTGCATCACCAGTGTGGGCCAGGAGTCTGGACTAGCTGGCCAAGGATTCTGAGGTCCCAGGTGCCCTCCAATACTCTGGCAGGTTCTTTCTACATTCTGGTCTTTCTTCACATGCCAGTTCATTAGATAAGATGGGGCTCCATTTCTCCACTGCGCTGCCCATTCCGAAGGCTGCAGGATGGTTCCTTCTGCCCAACATCGCCCCCGAGTATCCTGATAGGATCCCCGCATTTTTTTGGCTCCTGGCCTGTTTGAAACCCTCACCAGCTCTGTGTCGGTAGCAGAAAAAGAAAGTGACAAAAAGACAAACAGACTGGGGGGAGAGAGAGGGAAGGGAGAGGGGGAGAGAGAAGGGAAGAGAAGAGGAAAGGGGAGGGGGAAGAGAGGAGACATAGAGAGAGCAAGAAAAATCAGGGAAAGAGAAAAAGATGTCAGAAAGAGATATGGAGATAGACAGAGGAAGAGAGAGAGAAAGAGAGAATGGGAGGATGCAGAAGGGGAGAGACCAATGTAAGATGTGCACCCATCACTTTAGTTGGTGTCTGGACCTCAACTTGCTAGTCAGAGTTGGTCCCTTATTATCGCCCAGTTCTTCAAGGCGAAAGTCCCGGTCAATGCTTAGGTGTCTTTAACTGACCGATCCACTCATTTCAATCAAGAGAGAAACCAAATGGTCCAGGCCTGGAGCCTTCTAGAGATGTGGATTCTCCTGGGATTCTGTCAGTGTTTATGTTTGAGGTGACCTATGGAAAGATTGATTGGTTTTCCTTTAAAGACCATGGTGGAGGTTTTCCTTTTACAATACATTTATTTATATTCTAAAAATTATTTAATAAAAAGACAAGTAGCAAGTAAGTAATAGTATATACATGTTGGGAATATGACAAGAATCATGAACGTGGTTCTCCTATGTTCAGAGTTTGGCAAATAGTGGCCTTTATGTCTAAACTTTTTAGCCAAGATACCAGCCCTGGAGGTTCAAGTCCTGGGCCCTCCCTATTGTCCTCTCTTACCTCTGCCCAGTCCCTGACTCTGCCCAGTCTCTGAGTGCCCAGTCCCTGAGTGGCCAGTTCCTGAGTGCCCAGTCCCTGACCATCCAGGCCCTGGCTCCACCCAATCCTGAACTCTGCCCGGCCCCTGGTTCTGACAACCTTCCTGAGCTACTTCTAGGTCTATAAACACCTGCAGGTCTCTAGCTCCTCTGTTTTTGCACACGAGGTGTCCTCAGCTTGGCATTCTCACCCCCCACCCAACTTTGCCCGGAATGTCTGCTCCTGTTATTATGAAATCCCAGCCCAGACACATCCCTGGGAAGCCTGCCCTGGTTACCCCGCACCCAGAGCTGATGGCTTCCTCCTGAGTGTCACTGCCTATCCTTTACAAACCTGAACTGCTGCCCTTGCCACTCTGTGCCATATGTAGTTTTACCGTATTTATTTACACAAATCTGTGAGCAATGTGGAGGTAAGCGCCTGGGTCTTATTCCTGTCTTCTCCCTCTGTGCCGGGCCTAGGCTGAGACACAGGGTTTAAAGCGATACCGGGCTTTGCTCAAAGTGTGAATTCGTAGCTTCTTCATCAGGTTAGCAAACTATAGCTGGAGGGACAAATCTGGCCTACCACTTATTTTTGTAAATAAAGTTTTAAAGCAGCCATTCCCATAACTTACATATTATTTATGATGGCCTTCTGCATAGCTGAGTTGTTGCTACAGAGACTATATAACTACTGACAAAGCCTAAATAGTATTTGATCCTTTACAGTAAATGTTTGCTCATCCCTGTTCTAATGGCAACAGGTTTGCTTGGATTGGGAGGAGGTTGAGTGGTTTCAGGGAAGTCTTAGGTATGTGGTGGGGGCATCGAAGTGGGAAGAGGCCTGAGAAGCTGCTGGGAGTCAGAGACTTGACTTTCAGCAGTGGCTCAGCAGTGGCTCCCATGAGACCTCGGGAGGGGAGGGACTCTGGATAAGGGCACTGTCCAGGGATAAATCCTGACCTCCCCCTCCTCTCTTCCTCCCCTCCACCCTAGGGATAACCGAGATGCTCAGCATGCTCTGGAGAGGGACCTTGAGGACAAAAACTCAGCCCAGTTTATTGATGAAAAGTGTTTTAACCTGAGGAACACATCTGACTGCATCAGCTTCTTCCATGGTATGGAGAAGATCGATGGCACGTAAGTCCTGGGCTTTGGGTCCCCATCTGGCCCTGTCCAATGGGAGAGGAGGCCTCTGAGTCTGCTCCCGCCAAGCAGCCTTAAAGGGGGATTGATCGTGCATCAGTCAAGTGAGAGGCAGTGTGGTTCAATGAAGACTCTTGGTTGCAACCCATTGCATCCAATTTTGGCTAAAAAACTTGAAACATGAAATTTACTGGAAGGCTTTGGAGAGCCACAGACTCAAGGGGAAGGCTGGAAAGGAAGGCTCTGGCAGCTTGAACAAGCCAGGGAGTGAGAGCTAATCAGAGCACCACCACCCTGACATTCTTCCCCACTTTGCCCAAGATTCAAATTCCAGCAAGACAGAGCAAGCGATCGGCTGAGTGAGGGTCACCCGGCCATTGCTGCGGGGCCAGGACATGCTGGGGCACCTTGATTGGCAATGCCACCAAACCCCACAACAGCATGGCTGTAACCAGAGGGAGAGGAATTTTATTTATTTTTTTTACAGAGAGGAAGAGAGAGGGATAGAGAGTTAGAAACATCGATGAGAGAGAATCATCGATCAGCTGCCTCTTGCACACCCCCTACTGGGATGTGCCTGCAACCAAGGTACATGCCCTTGACCGGAATCGAACCTGGGACCTTTCAGTCCGCAGGCCAATGCTCTATCCACTGAGCCAAATGGGTTTCGGCTGGAGGGAGAGGAATTTAAGCTCAGCTGGGAGCCAATTTATGTCCACCAGTGCTGGTAGTGGTCACGAGTGGATCCCGGCTGCCCGGCCTCAAACCCAGCCTTAACACTGGTATGTGGGGTGAATTAGCTAATCCTCTGGGCCTGTTTCCACATCTGTAGCCCTGGGCTAATCACAGTGCCACTGCCCAGAGTTGCTATGAGTATAAAACAGTGGGCATGTGAAGTGATCAGCATAGAGCCTCGTGTATGCCAACAGCCAACATTTATGAAGTGCTTGCTGTATGACCTCACTGTCTCAGCCCAGCAGCTATGAGGTAGGTGCTTTCTGCATGCTGGGCACTGTAGTGGGCGTGTCACAGCATCTGGGAACTTCATATAGAACTTACGCATGCTTTCCCACTCAGGAGAGAGAGAGACACACATACAGAGAGAGAGAGAGAGAGGCTCTGGGTACAGGCAGGGGTGGTATCCATCTTGGGCCCTTTAAAAAAAATCTCTTGCCTGTAGATTTGTGCTTGTCATATAGAAGGTGTGCAATAAATATTGGTTGAATGAAAGAATGAATGAAAGGGGGAAGAGAAGGAAAGAAAGATGTAAGGAAGGGAGAGAGGAGGAAAGAAGGAAGCAAAGGCATCTGTTGGTAGTCTCCTGGACCATCTTCTGGATCTTAAAATATACATGTTGAGAGGACCCTTTGGCATTTCCAGCGATGGCAGCTCCTGGGGGCCTCTCTTTTCCTGACAAGGTGGCTCCTCTATGGCACAGTGGCAGAGTGAGCAGGGCTTAGGGGGCTTGGTGCCTTCATCCACAGCTGCCCATCAGGACAGGGAGTGGGAGGACTGCCTTCCCACACGGATGCCTCCCTGAATCCCGGGCAGCCGGGCGGGCTGGGCTGGTGGAGATTCTTCTTCCAGGCCTCTATTCAAAGTCCCTCAGCCAGCACCTCCACTCTGTTTGTGATGACTAATGGCTCCTCAGGTGTGCTAGCTCGGGACTGTCATTTGGGTTTCTTTTCTTTTTTTTTTTTTTTTAAGTCTTTGTTGTTGAGAGTATTACAGATGTCCCATTGCCCCCACCCACCCCCGTAACCCCCTCCACCTGGTTCCCACCCACCCCAGTCTTTCACCCCCTATTGTCTGTGTCCACGGGCAATGCACATATGCATAGAAGTTCTTTGGTGAAAGCAGGGCTGTGTCTGGACAGCTTAAAGGTTGTTTGGAGACTCTGAATTGCAGTTGTCTCTGTTCACCTCCGTTCTCTTTGCCACAGGTTAACTGAGGTGGTGGTGGTGGTGGTGGTGGTGGTGGTAATGATGGAGCTTTACACACAGTGTGTCATGAATCATAAATATCTTATAGAGTGTTTATTATTGTCGGGTGCTGTGATGGGGGCTTCACATTTAGTCACTCAACAACCATGGGGTTAGGCACCATTATTATCCCCATTGACAATGAGGAAGCTAAGGCTCAGAGAGGGGAAGCTCCTGGCCGAAACTCACACAGTATGTTACCCACGCGCCTTTCTGCCTCCCCAGCAAAGCCTGCCGCCTGTGTCTTTAGTCTTCAGAGGACACAGGCCACAGAGAGCACGGCCTGCCTCCCACCGGGGCATACCACCTGCCAGGAGACGGGCTGCCCCTGGCAAAGCTCCCCAGGGAGAATGTGCTTAGCAGGTCATTTTCTCTGGAGCCCAGATGCCTGCTCCCGAGGAGGGCGAGGGCTCCGAGGTGGCCGCTGCTGACATTGACGGTGCCCCGTTCAGCAGCGGGTAAAGCTGCTGCTCTCCTCTGCTGTCCTTGTGCCTCCTCCTCCCTCATCTGATGGCGAGGAGCTATGTGACCTTGGAAAGGACTCTACCCTTCTCTGAGCCTCAGGTCTTCGTTGGATGACAGCTCTGCAGGCACGGTGCCTCTCCCATTCCCAGGAGCTGAGACCCCTGTCTATTGCTGGACGTTGACACCTGCGACCTCCAGGACAAAACAACCACCTATGACACAGGCTTAAAAATGTCTACCCTCCATGCAATCCAAGTGCACTTGAAAACGTCTGGAACGAGACTTCTATTTCAGAAAAATTCAGTCTCTTTTTCCTACTGCCCGAGAATAGAAAGGAACTTTATTTAAGAACTGGACAGACCTCCTGGCTAGAAAAGGCCTTGAAAAGATATCCCATCTGGTTTACGCAGGAACTGAAGCCAGCTCACAGGTCCCCCAGAGGACAACACTCTCGCTCGTCGGTGGCTGCTTGTGGGGTTTCTGTATCTATAGGAAGGGCTTTCTGTTGCCCAAACTGAATCCCTGATGAGTCGCCGCCTCTGAAAAGCCTTCCCCGCCCATCCTATCCAAGGCTGCCTGGGTCTCCATTCCGCCCCTACCTACCGTCATTCCTTAGCTGTAGAGGTGGCTGCGCTTTGCAGACTGGCTCTTTGCCATCTGGTTTCCTGTTGAGTTCAGCCAAGAGGAGGGACAGCAGCAGGAGACGGAGGGAGGAAGGAGGAGAAGAAGGATGAGGGGACTTATCCTCCTTTGCTCCTGCTCCCTCTCCCTCTCTCCAAGCCTCCTCCTCTCTTGCCTGTCCCTCTCCTCTTGCCCTTCAGAGCTGAGTGGTAACAACTTTGTGCAAGAGCTAATCCATGAGCACCTCAGCTCCCTCGGAGTGTAAATCCCATTTCTTTCTTTGTATGACCCTGACACCTGATGGCCCCTCTCCCTTTGTCTCTCTTTCATCACCTTGCTCCTGAATTCCTTCGTAGCCCGAACACCCTGTGTAAGCATCTTTATTTATTGTCTGTCTCCCTTCACCGGAATGTATCGATCGCCCTGAGGTCAGGGATGTTGCTGTTCTCCCGAGCATCTAGAACAAGGCTTGCCATGTAGTCAGTATTCGTTGAGCAAATAAGTCAGTGCAAGTAGCAAGGCCACATGCATATCCCTGCATGGAAGGACCCCACAGCCAGCATGGTGCCCCGTCTCTGTTGTTTTTTGTTTTTGTTTTTTTAGGGGATGAGGGGTGTTATGGAGAAGAGACTCTCTGAAACTCTCTCCTCTCCCATTACTCACCCTGGAAAACAACTGCCCTCTCTACACACAGTGGCCTCACCTGTGAAATGAGGGGGTTGGATCAGCCCAGGGGTTCCCAACTGGGAACCATTGTGCAATGTCTAGAGACCTTTTTGTTTGTCACACTGGAGGGGCATTGCTGGGCTTTACTGGCACCTGGTAGGCAGAGGCCAGGGCTGCAGCTAAACATCTTACAGTACATGGGACAGTCTCCCACCACAGAGCCTGACCCCGACCACAGGTCAAGAGAGCCAAGGCTCAGCAACCCTGGATTCACAGGTCCCCAAAGCCTGCCACACAGCCCTGGTCCTCACCTGTGTTGAATTCCATTATGCCTTTTGCAGGATTTCCGTGCCTGAGACCTGGGCCAAGTTCAGTAATGACAACATCAAGCACTCGCAGAACATGCGGGCCAACTCCATCCGGCTGCAAGAGGAGGCCAAGAACCTCTTTGAGAACCTGTCGGATCAGATGTGGAAACAGTTCACCAACACCAACCTGGCTTTCAGTGCCCGCATCTCCGAGGTGACCGACGTGAAGAATAAGCTGCAGATGCAGCTCGCTAAGGTCAGTAAGTGAGAGGCGCCTAAGGACCATTGCCCACTCTGCCACACCCTCACTTTCCTCCTGTGGTCCCAGCAGCATCTGGCCATGCTGTCCACCCACCCCTGCCACTGAATGCTCTCAGTCTGTGAGCATGCCCAGCCCAGAACAGGGCAGGGGCCATGAGATTCCTCGGAGGATTCGAGCATCTAGGGGTAAATCTCCCTTGCTCCGTGGATGTTGAAGCTGGGCTGTCCCCACAGCACCCAAAGTCTGCTGATGGCCGAGAGGATGAGGATGGGTGTGGATATCAGAGTCCCAGGAACCAGGTCTGAGCAGATCTACTCCCCTCACATCAGCATTTTTGAAAAATGTGACCTTTGACCTTTGACCTTCAAGGGCTTAACAGCATAAGGACCCTGTGTTGAGGGGTGAGGTGCTTTTGGAATTTGAGGAGTAGGCAGCACTGTCAAGTTCTGTCACTATCTCCTGCCACTCTCATACACATGCCCCTTTCGCTACTCCCTTACTCCGATGTGTCATGCTCTTCCACACCTCTGGGGAAGTCTTCTGTGTGTGGAATTTATCCCTCCTGCCCCATATAAATTTAGACAGCTCCTGGTCCCCCACTGCCTAGCATACTGTCTGGTACACAGCAGACACTCCTTAAATCTTTGTGCGGCGAATGAAAGGAATTACAACGATAATTTTTGAACTGATATTTTTAAGAGAATGATGCATGAATGAGTGAATGCTTTTAATTTCAAGTATTTCTTTCTGTCTTTCTATTTTTTTGTAGGGAAAAATCATTTTTATATTGTGGTAAAATATACATGAAAATTTGCTATTGTCGCCCTAGCCAGTGTGGCTAAATGATTAGAGCATCAACCTGCACACGGAAGGGTTGTGGGTTAGATTCCCAGTCAAGGCCATGTACCTGGGTTGCAAGTTCAATACTCGTCCCTGGTCAGGGTGTATGTAGGAAGTAACTGATGGATATTTCTCATCTCTCTTTCTTACTTCCACTCTTAAAAATCAATAAAAAACACATCCTCAGGTGAGGTTTAAAAATAACAAGAAGAGTTCCTACTTGACATTATTGTGAGGATTAATGAGTGGATCTCTGTGGAGCTTGTAGAACAGAATTTGGCACATGGTAAACACTCAATAAAAAGGTAACTAGTATAAGTACTATTACCCATGGATAGTAAAAGAACCTTCTGGGTGGAGGTGGGAGCAAAACCTTTTCCCTTTCCAAATTTCTCTGGGAAAGTTTTGAATGATTACTAACAGCCTCATCACTGCTGATCAGAGTTCTTGCAACCGCATGGAGTTTTATTAATAGGCATTATATAACCACCAGCTGCTTGGTAAACAAGCCAGCACCCATTTGAGGCCTATCAAATCCCAACACAACACTACTGACAACACTGCCTGACTGAGAACTTGACTTTGGCTTTGTTAAGACGGTAAAAGAAGGAGTTGGTGTAATGAAGATAAATATATAGCAACCATTTCACCTTGTTTCAGCTGGAGGGTTTGAAAGGCTGCCCTGAAAACTTTAACTGTTATTGTTGAGCTTGGTCTGATCGCCTTGGCAAGAGGCATTTCTGGAAATTCTAGGCCCTCATCCTCACCTGTGCTGGAAAGCAATTAAATCACTGCCCAAGTGGTCATGGGAACCCACTTGAAAGACCAGGTCTACACGGCTTCCCATGGACATTGAACCACATACCTCCCTCCACCCTTCCCTCAGTGATTTGAGGATGCATACTCAGCCTTAGCTGTTCACCATGATCCTGGGGTTCCATCTCCCAGGCCACACCCCAAACCTTACAACTTGTCCTGGCCCCTCGTCCTTGTACTTGGTTCTTGTATCTGGGGGGTATATCTTGGTCATGTAGCCCATGGCTAGGAAAGGGGCTGGTGGCTTCTCTGGGCTGAAGCAGTTGATGACCAGCAAGCAGGAGACTGCCCTTGAGGACTGATCTGTCCTGAGAGCCAGGGTCCAGGGATGTCTCCAGATTAATGTAAGTCCCCACTTGCTTCCATTTACCTGGTTGAATGTGCCTTTTACGGGGAGGATTCTAGACGAGGAGAAAAGATGCAAGGACCTACAGGGAGGAGGTATGGGCAGGGACACTGCAATAGAACTGCGCTTATTCTAAAGGCGTAGGAGCTCGCCTGATGGGGGGAATGACAGCAGGTGTGTGGCATGGACATAGTGTTGATATCATTGAATCACACTCTGAGAAAGCTATTCCTTCTTCGGTCCTTTTACAATCATTGTGATGACCTCAGTTTTACCGGACAGGGACAGGCCCAGAGTGGGCTGCCCCAGGCCAGCCTATAACGTGTGGGTTCTTGACTTGGTGTTGGAAAGATTTCACAACCTGAGTCCAGGCGGGTTTGAGAGTCTATTTATTAATGCTTGGGACAGTGAAACAAAGGAAGAAGTTAGGGTAGAAGAAACAGTAGGGCGAGTCTAGGCCAGTGGTCAGCAATTCGCGACTCGCAAGCAACATGCAGCTCTTTGGCCCCTTGAGGGTTCTAACGCCACTTCTTTAAAATAGACTCGCCCAGGCCGAAAACCGGCTTCTGCACGTGGGCCATGAAGTTTCAATCGCACTGTACGTGCGCTCCCGCACGTGGTATTTTGTGGAAGAGCCACACTCAAGGGGCCAAAGAACTGCATGTGTCTCGTGAGCCACTGTTTGTCAACCACTGGTCTAGGCAAATGCGATCGGTTCTACGCTCGAATGTCATCACTCTTCACTCCCTCCCCTGCTCCCCGCTGGCTGGGTCTCCACCACCTCTTGCCTGGATTATTGCTCTGGCCTAACTGCTCTGTTTGCTTTTGATGTTGTCAATGATTAGCCGGCAGCGAGTTCCCAGGGCATTCGGTCCTTGAGCAGGCCAATGAGGTTCACAGAGGAAGAAAATTCAAATCTTTAGGTTCTTCAAAAAACCTCAAGAGTTTAGCCGCAGGGTGAGGGCAGCAGGCTCTCTCTGGGCCATGCCTGCCCGTATCTGTGGGTCTCCCCACAGTTGACTCCCTAGAAATGTTGTAGGAAAGAAGTGAGCCAAGACAGTGAAGGTCACTGAAATAGAAGTGAAAAAGGTGGGGCTGCTTTAGCTCACGGGGAAGTCAGAGGAATGGGGGTCCTTGGAGGCAGGATCAGGGGGTGAGCCTTGGTCAACTGCTGCTGCCCACCACTCCCCTAGTTGCAAGTCTTGTGGGGACCCTGAGAGTTCAGGAAGAGATAAAAAGTTCACGACTGGGAAGGGGCCTGGGCGTGCTAGAGCAAGCCTGCACTGAGTCTTGGTCCTGAGGGCTTAATATCCCCTTTTCTCTTGCAGGTGAGAACCTTAGGGGAGGGTTTCAGTAGAATATTCATCAGCTTTCCAGGTGCATTTTAATAGGCTGACGCATCAAAATGAGCGTGTAGGGGAATTTGGGGTTATTCTTTTGTCTGTTTTATTGTTTTATCTTGGATCTGTCTGGCTTTAATAGGTTTTTTTGTTATTTATTCCTCAACTTCATCTGTCCTTGGGCTCAGCTGGTACAAATGACATTAAAAGGGGCTTTGTTCTCTGTTTTCCCAGGTCAGAGTGATTGAAGCTGTGTATTCTCTGGTTAGGGCAGGAGGTAGTAACCATTGGCTCTCAAGTGTCCTTGGTTGGGGAAGATAAGGACTTTCAATTCACCAACTGTCTGTAAAAAGTTCAAATTGTTTGGCCTTGTTCCATTTTCTTGTCTTAGTTTCCCCATTCCACCTGCCCAGGGATTGTCCTAGTTTCTCACTATCTTGCCTCATCAAGAGGATGGTCTTGGTTGGATGCTACAATGCCTCCCTCATCCCTTTAACACGGGCTGATTTCCCTTTTACACAGCGTGAGGACCTCAGGTTAAGAGGGCTGGGCAGGCAACAGTAGCCCAGCCAGAGCTGAAACAGCATTGCTTTACTTGCATCTTGTTTCGTGCATTTTTATGGTGATTTCCACTTATGACAGATGATGCCAATTTTCTGCTGAGGATAGTGATATAAAGTGTTATTTTTTAAAATATATTTTTATTGATTTCAGAGAGAAAGGGAGAGGGAAAGATAGAAACATCTGTGATGAGAGAGAATCATTGATTGGCTGCCTCCTGCATGCCCCCTACTAGGGATTGAGCTAGGGCATGTGCCCCGACCAGGAATCAAACCCATGACCTCCTGGTTCATAGGTCAATGCTCAACCACTGAGCCACCTTGGCCAGGCTCAGTGTTATTTTTAAATAAACACATTTAAGTCTTTTTGCAAAGTGAATTGACTTGAAGATTGTTAATCATGTTACAAGCGGTGTGAGGGGATATGGCAAACATGGTAAAGATGGTTGGTGGATGCCTGACATTTAGAAAACAGCAGTGTAGGCCTGCATGTCTCAAACAATACTGCGTGCATGGTAATCCCCAGTGTCACCTGGGGACTGAATCACAATGCAGGCTCTGATTGAGCGAGTCTGGGGTTAGGCCTGAGAACTTGCATTTGAACTGGGTGGTAGGAAATAGCGGGAGTATGGGTTGTAGAGTGCTTTGTCTTTGACAAACATCTGGGTAAGCAGCTGTCTCCTTCCCTTCTCTCCCTCTCCCTCCTCCTCCCTCTGTCTTCCTCCCTTCCAGGCTCAGAATCCTCAGAGAACCAAATCCTCCTTAAAGGCCATCCTGGGTCACTTAATTCTCATCAGATTTTCTCTAATTGCATTTTTGCTTCCGAGTTTCCGAGTCAAGTCCCGTCACTCCTCCTGCACGGGGCCAGCCCAGCTTGCCCATCACCCAGAGGGTGCCCAATTTGTGAGGATGCAAAGGCCCCTCTGTGGTGCCTGACACCCTCTGCAATGTGTGCCTTTGAGTCACGTTGCATTTTCCCACCTTGATGGTTAATGTGGTTGGAGCAAATGACGTTATTAGCCGGGGGATCAGGACAAACCAAGAGCACCGCCTGGATTAGGTTATCAGTGTATCAGATAAGCTGGATTTCTC